GGGGTCCCCACCCCGAAGCCAGCCCCTCACCTTCCGGAAACTCGGGCACTGACAGGTCCTGCTCCCAGCCGTCCACCTTCTGCAGATACTGGTAGACCAGGCTGCTCTTCTCCTCCTGGGTGACGGCGTCGAGCAGGGCGTACTCCAGCGAGGTCTGAGCGGGGAGCAGGCCCGCGAGGCTGCGGCTCCGGACGCCGGGCGCCGCCATGTTCCCTCCGGACGGTCCTGGGGCGGCCGCGCCGCGGGCCACGGACCGCGCTTCTCTGGGGACAGCGAGGCAGCGTTTCTCGTCCTTAGGTTTCAAAACGGCACATTCACCTTGCTCTCCCCCAGCCCCGGTCCACACTAAGGGCACTTTTTTCTGTTGTAAACATGCACTCAGGTGCTCAAGTCCCTACAAAACGCCGCCAATTCCGGGCGCGTAATTAAACTACCGCCCTGAGCCGCCCCGCCCCGCCCCTTGGAGCCCTCCGGCCACCGCCGAGGCTGGGCGTTCGGAACGCCAGATTCGACAGGAAAAGGCCTCGGGTAGCGTTCTAGAAGCTGGAAGAGAACCATTCCCCCCACCTTTCGCCTTTAAAACAGAAAATAAAATTCAGTGAGTCCGCAGAACTATACAAGGGCACATACTTTTTCCCCCCATTCTTTTTGAAGTCCGGCTCTTAGACCGGAACCAGCCGATTCGACACGGCCCTGACGGCGGGAAGCGGTCCCGCCAAGACTGGAAAGGTAAAGGAGTAGGGATATATATCCTCAGGCTTTTGAAAGTTGGGGGTGACTGTTCACGGCTTTGGCTTGTACACAAATGCAGTCACTTGTCGCCCTGCCGTGCTGAAAGTGCGGGCGCGAATGGATTTCCAGCAGAGCAGGGGGAGGAGGGAAAGGGGGGCACTCGGGGAGCGGACGCGGCTGTTCCCCGGGTGGCAGGTGGGCTGCGGCGAGCATCCCTGGGGGCCCGACTTCCGTCTTCTGAAGGGCACGGCTGTGATTGCTTTTATGGGGCGGGCTGTGCTGGCAGCTCATTCGCTCCCGGCCCGGGAGTGGGGAAGCCCCCGCTCTCTGGCTTTGTAGCCTCCCGCGTGCCCAGGGAAGGTAGAGCCCGCGGGAGGCCATGGGCAGGTGAACCTTGTTCAGCGGCCGGTGGAGAGAGGTCCTGCCGCCTCCAGGGCGGGCCACCCCTGTGGTCTGGAGTTAGGAGGGTGGCCTCGGTGCAGGCAGGCACGACTTCACGAGTTTGGATGTTTGTTTATCGTGCAGGGTTTGTTCATTGCCGCCAGAGGAAGACGGTGGACTGACCCAGGAAGCTGGAGTTGTTGAATATCCAGGCGTCATGGACGAGGGCAATTACGTTTACTGGGAACCACACACTGCTTTGATTATGGGGTGACTCGTCTTAATGAGCAAACTGAGGTAGCCATTGAGTGTTTGCAACACCTGCCGAACCAATTGCGCAGGGACTGTCGGTGGATTTGAGAATTATTTGGACAGATGTCCAGTGGAAAGAGAACTGATAGCAGCTTTATAACGCTTTTGCAAAGCTCGTTTGAAGACTCCTATTAATGCTTAATTTTCAAAGTATTACTGATTCTTCTTTTTATGAATCAAGCCCTGGAAAAGGCCCAGTATCTGAATGAAATAGTAGCCACACACAAAAAAATAGAAAACTTCTCAGATGCTACCCCTGTGGTAGTTTCTCTTAATTTTATTGTAGTAGGTGGTCTCAGGTATAAGGTTGATAGTTTGCCAATATACTCATTACCAGACCTTTAGATTCCCATCAAGTCAGTGTTTTAGGTTGTTTTTATTTTCCCCCGTAAAATAATTTCATTGAAAAATTTTTGTAACAACAAATAGACTCTCCGTGTACTTAAGATTAGTGCTTCTTTAATGATAAAGATTATTTTGCCATGTTAGAAGACACTTTTTCGGAAGAAGACATCTGGGAATACAAATCTAAAAGGAAACCAAAACCAGTACATGCAAATAATTGCCCTGAGACTATTCCAAAATCTGTAGGAAAAGCAACAGATGGCAAATACCGGTCAAAGCGTAACAGAAATAAAAGAAAAACTGTGGAAGCTAAAGAGAAGGCAGAGGACCCTGAGGTGTGCCTTGGAGTAACAGGTAGTCAGACCTCTACAGCTTCTAGTCAGGGTTCGAGTTGTGGAGATGGTACCCAGCAATCCCAAGGCAAGACCACACCAGGAAAGCACTGCAGGGCTCACAAAACTAAACAGGTGTCCCCAAAGATCCGTCCAGTGTACGACGGATACTGCCCAAACTGCCAGATGCCTTTTTCCGCGTTACTAGGTCAAACACCTCGATGGCATGTCTTTGAGTGTTTGGATTCTCCGCCACTCTCCGCAACAGGTAAGATTACAATAAAAGATAGCGGTCTTTCAGTGGACCTGCGGTAGGCCGGACATACCAGTCCAGTCAAGCAAGGGAAGCAATAAACTGAGAGAGGAGACACTCTAACCCTAGAAGCAAACAAGATAAAAGCATGTGTACTCTTCCTGAGAAGGTAAACATACAACAGCCAAAGGTATAATTGTAAAGAATTGCAAACTTGAAAACAGTCCAAATGAATTTTATTTTATAAAAGTCCCTAAACATCCCAATTATTTTTCATAAATGCTAATTGAGCACATATGCTAGATTCTTTCACTTGCTTCATTTGACTCACAACAACTGCACAGGTAGGTGGTATTGACATTTCATAGATGAGAGTTCTTAAAAGTTAAACAACTTGTCCATTTTGTTATCTTTTTATGAAGCAGAGTTTTAGAGACTTCTGACTATAACCCACTCTTCTAACTGTGGTTATGTTGGCTGCATCATGCTAATGTTCAGGAAGAGGAACTGGGAAGGAGTGTCAGGTTATTAAGTTCTAATGATAAAGATGTGCCAATTGGTAATCAGTGTTTTTATCTTTTAAAATCTCTAATAAACATCATGTTTAAAAGATAGAGTTTCAACTTGGAGCATATGGAAAATGGCTTTTGATGATTTGTGTATTTTAAAGTTAAGTATGCGGTATATAGATTTTTAAATCTCAAAGAATTAAAATTCAGTAAAGTAAAAATAATACTCAGTATGGCTTTCATGATAAAAGTGATTCAAAAGCCATTTTCTTATTAACTTCTGTCATTTTAAAGTCCTGCATGAAGATGCAAAGGAACTCTTAAAATTTGCCATTAGCTGTTCGTATAAAATAGCAACTGAAAGCCTCACCTAATGCTAGTAATTTGCTTTTCAATGGCTTGAAATCCAGAAATGGAAGTTGGAGTCCCATGGTGAACACCTCAGGGTGAAATGTCTTGTAGATGAAACCACCTCAAAAGATATTTATCTTCTTTTTTTCTGACTAAACTTTTGATAGTTTCAGGTGGACTCTTCTTGAATTGAACTCTATAACAAATACTTTTATGAGGCAGTTTTAAGTTAAGTTTTAAGCAAAGAAGTCTTCTAATTGGATGGAACACCCTTGGGGGCGGGGGGTCCCTATTTAATAAACCAGAAAATAAACATACAAGGGGATATGCCAAGATGGTGTACAGAATGTTAACCCAATCCTAATGGTATGGTGGGGAACGGTCTCCAGATCATCATTAACCAGTGTATCAAATTGAATTTCTAATCTTAGAGCAGAATCTCAATGGCCCAGGATTTGAACAGCTATAACTAATTAAGATTGTTATTACTAAATAATGGAAGCTAATTCGTTACTCCAATTGCCATACATCTGTGTTGTTCCATAAGAATAATGGGAATAGAACTCTGGTTCTGAGAGATATATCGGTTTTCTTTATTCTTTATTGCCTGAGCAACAGTGAGCTAGTGAAAGTGATGGTATCAGTTCGTAGCACCTGTTTAAGAAATATGTAATGGAAGGATGATGTGGATTTTAAAAGAGCTCGTATTTGTTTGATTTAAAAATAAAAACTAGCACTTTGCAAAAATATACTGGGTTACTGTTATTTTATGCTGATCTTTTGATTTGTGTTAAGAGCTATTGTCAGTATGGGGCTGATGACTACACTTATGTGTTTGATTTATCCATTGATACTGTCAAAATGTAGTCTGTGCTATGACACTGTAATCCTTTTTTTCTTTATTACAATTTTCAGAGTGTCCTGATGGTCTTCTGTGTACCTCGACGATTCCTTCTCATTACAAGAGATACACTCACCTCCTGCTAGCTCAGAGCAGGGCTGGTCATAGTCCTCTTAGCAGTCCATCCCATGGGGTAGGCAGTAGTTTCCGTGAGACTAACTCGGGCTTTCTTTGTAGCCTTGAGGAAAGTTGGTCTCCGGATCAAAAACACACTGAGAACTTCAAACATGTTTCAATTGATCCCTTGTTCGTGACACAGTGTCTAAAACAATCCCAGTCCCCACCTGAAACCAAGAAAAAGATTTCCTCTTCAACAAATACCCAAACGTCCCAACGAGCCCCACAAGCTGCACGATGTGTTAACGATGACAAACTGGTAGGAGCTGGTTCACCTCTTGCCGGAAGACTGGACAGCCAGAACCACTCAGGACACACCAATTCGCTGTGGCCAGAAAATGACTTGAGCGACTGTGAAATCTCCTACTCTCCTCTTCAAAGTGATGAAGAAACTTACGCTATAGATGAAAAGCTGGATGATTCACAACAGGGGCTGTGTTTTACAGAAAGCTCTAAAGATGGCAGCCTAGAAGCAGATGACAACAGCTGTACTTTATTTAAAAATGCCCACTGTCCCTTACTGAGGAGTCAGCAGGAGAGGGGCTCCGAAATGAATAGCTTCTTCACTCAAGAGAGATACAATGAAGAATTGTATACATACAGCACTCTGAATGACCCATCTCAACTCCTTCTCCCCAGTGAGGGTGTTATTTTATGTCATGATCTGGCATATCCTGATGATGGTTTCTTGCTGTTTCCACCTGCATTGGCAGAGGGACTTGCTTCTTCGAGTTGTCAAGCTGCGACAGCAAAACCCGATGAGCCGAAAGTTCACGCCTCTCCATCAAATAAACAGAAACAGATCATTGAAGCATCAGCTGTTTACAATCACATTTCTCTTCCACTACTTAAGAGTAAAATGCCAAAACCTTTTGAAAGCCAGGCCCAAGGAGGGTGTCTTTCTTCCCATCCAACCCAAAGTAAAATTAGAGAGTTATCAAGCAAGAGCCTCGGTACTAAGAATAATGCTAACACAGCATGTTCCTGCAGAAAGGCATTAGGTGGTATGCGAGACAGTCAAGTTACAGTGTTAAATACAGAGCCATTTTCGAGTACAGCGACTTCTGCTAAGCCTTTGAGAATGTTGCCATCTGGTTCTCAGTGCAGTGCAACACAGGCTTCTACGAAGGTAATGAAGCAAATGGATATAGGTGTGTATTTTGGTCTACCACCTAAAAGAAAAGAAGAGAAATCG